TGGGTTTTTGAAAATCCCAACCAAAATCTTGTAAAGAATCGTCTACAATTTTACAAGTTTTGACGTACAGCCATGTCCCACATTTATGGGATTTTAAAACAACTCAACTTAACTCCATTTTAACTTTCTTTAAAGTAAACAGTATTTTGGTTTCTGACTCCGAACATTATAAAAACAATTCCGCAGTAAAAACCTTGTAAAAAAAGTGACTCGACTCTGCGAACCTGATCTTGAGTAATCAATCTGGCACAGAGTCTCATAAGTATTTCCGGAACAAGAATCAGAAGCTGGGTATATTTTCCCGCAACTCTGAACTTAGCAATGCTTTTTCTTTTAATCCCCTTAAGAACTCGAGCACAAATTTGACTATAGGGTCATAGGATACCTCAGGTTGAAACAAAATTTACTGTCTGTCGTTTCCGTCATTCACTTTTCAGAAAAACCATCTGGTAGTCCCCAACGACCTATTTAAAGACCCGTTTCATGCTTTATTCGTATTTACTTCCTCGTTGCGGACTGGATATATTGTCGCTTAGAAGTTAAAGCCTCTTTACAACATGTGAACATCATATAGTCCACATCATCAAGTGTGACTGCGGGACAAACGATGCAAAAAAAATAGTAAATTTCCTAGTGATTAAAAATCTAACCAAGTAAAAAGTCAGCAAAGCTCATTTTATTACCCTCCAACATTCCGAGGGAACTTGCACAATTTCAAAAATTCTGGTATAGCCTCTGAAATTATTAAAATATTGAATATCGGACGGTACAGTCATATGAGGTTTATACGAAAACGTAGACACGTATGACCACAGGCCCGATAGCAGAGAAGGGGGTACCTTTGGTATATTTCAAATAGCAATTTTAAGATAACTTCTTATATCCGCAAAATACCGAATATTGGAGGGTACATTTATATGAGAGAAGGTGAAACCTCGTTTTCTTTCGTAGGAAGAAGTACACATTACGAACTCCAAATACCAAATTATGTACCTACCATCGTTGGGTACAATTGTATGGGGTCTGTAACAAAAATTTGGACCTACCGATATTGTTTTCTGCAAGGGCCGTTTTTACCTACTGGGAACACAAACTGTCAACTTACAGCAAATTCTGTACAAAAGTGTGACTAACACTGAAAACACCCTAAATCTTTCAGTATAGTTATATGGGGCTATTCCAAAACGTGGACCTATATATGCCATTTTCAATACCATTCTGCGGACATAATATGAATTTGAGTGCACTTTTGTCCACCTCCTTCACTCAATTCAGACTCTAGAGTGATTTTCACAGACGGACAGACAGATCAACATAGAATCTTATGCTGATAAAGAATATACAGGGTGAGATGCAACCAACTTCAGACTGCTGTCAGTGACAGCTCATTATATTGTTTACAAGCGTACAAAAGCGTTTTGGTGAGTGGAATTCTCCAGAAAAAAAGTTATTCGCGATGGAATTCAAGCGAGATAGTGTGACTTCTTTATATTTGGCTGGAAACCCACAAGTGGTTATCGTTAGATCACTCCAGCATTTAAATGTGAATAAATCTTCTGAGTCTCGTACCATCGCTCGTTACCGTGATGCTGGTAGCGTAGCCCGACCTCAAGGAAGTGAGCGGAAGAAAACAGCAACATCAGCATAAATGGTTCGAAAAGTAAGGAAGCGACTTGATTGAAACCCGCGTCGCAGTGGCCGAATAGTGGCTCGTTAGTTGAACATATCGCAACATATATACCATTCGGCAAATAGTGAAAAATGATCTCGGGGTAAAGCTATTGAAATTCCAAAAAGTGCAAGAATTTACACCGCAACAGAAAGAAAATAGACTCAAAAGAGCTTGGCCGAAAGTGAACTGCCGAATTTGGTTTTCTCCCATGAGAAAACATTTGTTGTCCAGGGCCGCCATAACAACCGATAATAGCTCTTTGCTCGTATTAATCGACCGTGGTATCAAATAAATACCAAATATTATCGCGAAAATATTCTGGAGGGTGTATTAAAGCCTTGGGCACGCAAACATGTTGGCCGCAGACCTTTGACATTCAAACAGAACTCGGCAAAATCGCACTCAGCACGCGCCACCCAAGAATGGTTACAAAATGAGGTTCCTCGCTTCATTTCCACCGCACAATGGACACCAAAATCTTCGGATACCAATCCGTTGGACTATTGTGTTTGGAGTAATTTGGAAAGCAAGGTTGACACTAAAAAATACCAAAGTGTCGATCACCTCAAGCAAGCACTTCACCGAGAATGAGCCAAAATACCCAGAGAAAAGTCCGTGCAGCGTGTGACTGTTTCATTGGCCGATTGAAGGCCTTAATTCGTGCCAAACGTAACCTATTCGCACAAATCTAAACTTATTCTAAAATTTGATGCTATTTCCGACATATTTTGCTTTCAATCAATAAAATATAAAAAAAAAAATTAAAAATTATGGCATTTGACTTTGTTGCAGTTTTTTATCTTACCCTGTATATAATATAACCTTCATTAGATTTATGTAACATTTGGTACTATTTCTTCTGATGGGTTAACATATGATTCTGCAAAAGTGATATATATTGGCCCACGTTATGACTTAGACTCCCTTTAGCGATACATCCGGATTAAGGTAGCTAATGCTTTTTGAATACATTTTAAGGAAAATTGTCATTTTGAGTTGCATGCGATTAAAATCCGTAATTTTAGAAATATATGACCATAGACTCAAGTTGCTCATATACCCCTATATTATCTCCGACAGATTTGACCTATTTGCTGGATTGCACCACTGTGGAGCATTGTCAATATAATGAACATATTCCATGTATTACAATCTCAAACTTGTCTGATAAATTGATCATACCATGTATCACATAATGGTCTAGATAATAACTAAGGCCAAAAACAGAAGACTTAAGAGATGAACTTGAAATATGTTTCAAGCGAATAATATTTCAAACTTTTATTAAATATAATTGTAACACATAAAAACACATTTTAATTAAAATAATCTTTTTTAAGCCATACACAAATTACATGGTTTTGTGATTCAAATATTAAGCACATATGTTCAGACACACACATTGAAATATTCACATGTCTTAATGATATTTTAAAGACGTCTTAATAGCTTTTTGTCTTCAAAGTCATCTAAAGCAACGATCCAAATGTTTTTGCTGTTGTTGTTGGTGTTGAGCGATTTAAATGCTTGGCTGAATAGGTTATTGACTGACTAGTTGTTGTTGTTTTTTGGCTTTTTCGAAATGCCCCCGAGCCCATGGGAAGCTTAACAAGTTAAAAAGCAGTAAGTTCGGCCGGGCCGAACTTTTAATACCCTCCACCATTTGCAACGAATTTGGAAATTTTCAAAAAATAAAATCTTTAAAAAATTCTGTTCAAATTTTAAAAATACCGAATATAGCCGTTATTTTGGGGTCTATACGACGTGGACATACATAGGCATTGTTTGTCATAAGCCATTACCATATTCAAATTCGAAACTTGAAATAAACGGTGAATAATGTAGCTAAAATCATCAAAATACCGAATATAGGGAGGTACCGTTATATGGGGGCTATACGAAGACCTGGACCCGCACAGACAATTTTCTGTCACAGACTGTAGTTCCCATAACGAACTTCAAATACCAATTTTACAACAATTCCGGTGAATAATGTCGCTAAAATCATCAAAATACCGAATATAGGGAGGTACCGTTATATGGGGGCTATATGAAGACGTGGACCTGCACAGACAATTTTCTGTCTTAGGGTGTAGTATCCATTTTGAACTTCAAATACCAAATTTGAAACAATTCCCGTGAATAATCTCGCTAAAATCACCAAAATACCGAATATCGGGAGGTACCGTTATATGGGGGCTATATGAAAACGTGGACCTACATGGCCCATTTACGAACTTAACCTGCCTACTGGAAAAATAAACATGTGTGCAAAATTTTAGTCACCTATCTCAATTCATTCGAAAGATAGCGTGATTACAACAGACAGACAGACGGACAGACAGACGGACAGACAGACGGACAGACAGACGGACATCGCTAAATCGACTTAGAATTTTACGCTGATCAAGAATATATATACTTTGTTGGGTCTGACATGAGTATTTCGAGGAGTTACAAACGGAATGACAAAGTTAATATACCCTCCATAGTATGGTGGAGGGTATAAAAATAGCAACAATGACAAAAATCATGAGTCAGAAATAGAAGGGATTTGCATTTTAACGAAGAAGAATCTGACCTTTTTTCTTAGTCACTGGAGGAGTCAAGAAAACAGAAATACAAATTAATTGAGTGAAAGATGGGTTCTTCTTTTCGAAAAAAATCAGATTCATTGGACATCGAATTTCCAACTTTGTAGAAAGAAGAAATCACTCAAGCATTTTTTTCAATTCGTTGTTAGTTTGTTGTTCTTTCTGCTGCTGCTTCTGCTTCTTTTGAACGCCATACAATTAACCATTCATCCAAGCGTGGCTTCTGTATTTTTTTTTTTTTTTTTGGTTCTTGGTAATGGTTTTCTTGCCAGGCTTGAGATTGTCTGTGTAATGAACCTTTTTTGTTTGTTAAAATAATTATTTTTAATTCTTCGTTTTTTTTTTTAATACTAACTATATCAGATGTATGTTTTTTCTACGGCTCACAAACTGAAAATTCCAACTTAAAGGTGAAAAGTTGTTAGAACTTATTTTTAGTAACCGGCAATTGGCGGAAGTGTGTAAACGAATTTTGTATCATTTTTTTTTTTTTTTTTTTTTTTTGCCAGAGAACCCAAATACTTGGAAGAAGAAAAAGAATACAAATATCACGACAACAAAAACACACACAACTCCCACAATTTTATTTCGAGGAAGAGAAAAAGTTTTTCACTTCCAAAGCAGAACAAATTCTAACCATTCATTGTTAATTTGTAATTCAACAGTAACGGATGTGGAGTTCTTTACATTTCTTCAATCTCAAAGATAATCTGCAAATGATGTTAAACGAATAGAGTTCTTAAAAAAAAGAAGAAAAAAAAGAAAACTTGGAAAAAGTTGAATCATTTTTCAAAAAGGATTTGAAAAAAGTGTAATTAATAAAAGAAAATAATTAGAGAATTGAAAATTAAAAGAAAACTTAAAAAATGATACGTTGGAAATCTTTGGATATCATCAACTTGACATGGACTTTATTATCCATTGCCCTTGTGATACCCACCATCAACTCACTTACTGTGGATAATCAATTGGTATCGGCAAGAAATGGTAAGTATAAATGTAAATTTATATGACATTTAATATTTCTGGAATATTGATGATAAATAAATGTAATATCTTGCCAACAGGGCAGGACGATTTGGAAAGAAACAATTAATTCCGTTGCCAAGAATAGTGTAAATATAACAAAACTGGTTCAGAAATATCTAGCGATAGTAAAAATTTCCAATAAGTTTGGGATTTTAGTGTCTGTTGTCTATCTGAATTTTTGGGAACTTTTACTCATTAAGATTTTAAAAAGCAATTCGAGTGGATACTAGCCTTAAAATACCTAAACATGACAGAAGACAATTTTGAGACAAAAACTTTCGAGGTACCAATAATTAAGCAGTGCCGTAGAATGACCTGTACTGGATCCATACAGATTTTTTGGTAGATTCTTCCAAAGGGAGATCTGAAACAAATAACAGCAAATAACCAAACATAGTATGGAGGAGGTATATTAGGTTCGTCATTCCGAAATAATAATTTTAGACCTACCAAAGTGTGTATAGTCTTGATCAGCATAAAATTATAATACGATTTAACCGTCCGTCTATTGTAATCACGCTTGAGTCAAAACCAATTAAGATAAGAAGCTAATATGTTGCACAGATCACTTTTTTGTCTGCATGTAGGTCAAATTCGAAGAGGGGCTCCCGTAACGGTACCTCCCGATATTCGGTATTTTGATGATTTTATCCACATTTTCCATTTTGAAATTCTACACAAGGAGTTATTTGTGAGTAATTTACTCCCCGAAAGAGGATTGTCTACATAGATCTGCGATATCGAATAGCCCCATACAACGGTACCCCCCATATTCGCTATTTTGGTGATTTTAGCGACATCATTCACCGGAATTGTTTCAAATTTTGTTATTGAAGCTCGTAATGGATACTACAAACTATGACGGAAAATTGTCTTTTTGGTTCACGTATTCATATGGCCCCTATATATAGACACCTCCCATTATTAGGTATTTTGATGTTATTAGCGGTATGAGTAATCGGAATTTTTTCCAGTTTGATGATATTGGAGACATTTTTGTCTATAAAATTTTACGATGTCGTATATCCCCCATAAAACGTTACCTCCCAATATTCGCAATGTTGATGATTACAGCCAAAATTTTTAATGGAACAGTCTGAAAATCCACACAAGGAGTTCCTTCTGAGTACTTTACACTCTGGAAGAGAATTGTATATATAGGTCCACGATATCGAATAGCCTCCATACAGCGGAACCCCTATTTGTTATATTAATGATTTTAGCGAGATGATTCACCTGAATTGTTTCAAATTTTATATTTGAAGCTCGTAATGGATACTACAACCTATGACGGAAAATTGTATATGTTTGTTCACGTCTTCATATAGCCCACATATAACGGCATATCCCTGTATTTGGTATTTTGATGATATTAGCAGCATGATTCACCGGAATTGTTTCCAGTTTGATGATATTAGAGACATTTTAACCGGAATTGTTTCAAATTTTATATTTAAAGTTCACACAGTTATGTTCCATCAAAATTGGTTGGAATTGTCCTAGAAAAGTTCCGAATAATAAAACCATTTTTTCCCGAAAAGATCTATTTTAATAAAAGAGTTATGTAATTGACTAACTTAATAATTCATCTTAAAATATTGGGCGATGGTCACCCTTGTTCCGAATGTGTCAGATAAAAAAGAGTACTAAAAAGAACTAAATAACAAAATATACTAAATATTGTATCCCTTGTATTTGACGAACGAATAGAGGTAGAACTCTTAAATTTTTGGAAATAGGGCCGTTGATGAAGTTTATGATGCATTTGGGTATTCTCTCTATAAGTGTACGAAAAGTACTAAAATGTACTACTTTTTGTATCATTTCGTATAGGTTAGAGCTAATAACTTACAATTTTGGAATGGGAATCAAGGTGGAAGCGTATGGTCCATGTGAGGAAATATTTTTGGAAGTGTATATAATAAAATAATAAAATTACTAATTCTGGAATCCTGAATTTTAAAACAAGTAAAAAAGCTGTAAGTTCGGCCGGGCCGAACTTTTAATACTCTCCACCATTTGGTATTTGACAATTTCCAAAAAAAAAAAAATGAAATCCGTTAAAAATTCTGTTAAAATCTTAAAAATACCGAATGCCTATACGACGACGTGACCTGCATAGGCAACTTTTGTCATAAGTTATTACAATATTTTAATGCGAGACTTGAAGGAAAATCTGTTTATAATGTAGCTAAAATCATCAAAACACCGAATATAGGGGGTACCGTTATATGTTGGCTATACGAAGACGTGGACCTGCACAGACAATTTTCTGGCATGGGCTGAAATATCCATTACGAAGCTCACATGCGAAATTTACGAACTTAACCTGCCTACTGGCAAAATATACATGTGTGCAAAATTGTAGCCTCCTATCTCAATTTGTTCGAAAGATAGCGTGATTACAACAGACAGACAGACACACAGACAGACAGACGGACATGGCTAAATCGCCTTAGAATTTTACGCTGATCATATATATACTTTGTTGGGTCTGACATGAGTATTTCGAGGAGTTACAAACGGAATGACAAATTTAATATACCATATATAGTATGGTGGAGGGTATAATAAACATTGCTGGCGGAGTGTAGAATTGGGATATGTAGATAGTTTTAGTCATTTGTATATATGTGCACGAAAAATATTAAATTTGGTAAAATTTCGACATGGGTGAACCGATGGAGCTGGAATGCTGATGTTTGAAAATAAGATTACCATTGCATTGTAGGACTGAGGTAGTTTTGTAACTTCTTACTTATGTGCATTAAAAGGTACTCAATTTGGTACAATTTAGATTTTAGAGGAACCGGTAGAGTTGTAATTTTGAAATTTTGAATTAAATTTTCTATCGGAATGTATGATGAGAGCTTTAGACATTTGTACTTATGTGTACACCAATAGATCTGTTATCCTGAAATTTAGAAATAAGATTACCGTCAGAGTGTAGGACTCAGATATGGTGGTGGTTTTGAAAATTTTAAATTATACGTGCTAAAATGCAGTAAATTTAGTACAATTAAGATTTGGATGAACCCATAAAACTTGAATCCTGAAGTTTGAAATGAAGAATACTGTTGGAGTGTGGAATTGAGGCTCGTATATTGCTTTAAAAAATCCTTACTTATGTGTACTAAAGGTACCAAAAATTGGAACAATTTGGATTTGGCTGAAGCGATAAAGCTGAAATCCTGAAATTGGAAAATAATATTTCTATTGGGTTGTATGATCCAGGTTGTTATGGAAATACTTACGTATACTAAATGGTGCTATATTTGTAATAGTTTAGTTTAACTTGAACGGATGAAGCTGGAATTTGGAAATTTTGTATTGGGGCCCCTCTTAGTGGTAGCTTTGTGATAAAGAGGTTATATTGGAAATGTGTACTACGAGAAGTACTAAATAGTACTATATTTGGTACAATTTACTATTCTCTGAACAAATAGTTCTTGAAATCTGAAATTTGGTATTAGGTCTGCTGTTGATGTGTAGCCTGGACATATGGAGGTTGATTTGGCTATTTGTACCATAATTGTATGAAAAGTACTGAATGTTACTATATTTGCTATTAAGTAAAGGAATAGAGGTACAATTCTGAAATTTGATATTTTGATTACTGATAGCATCAGTGCTTGAGATTTAGTGGTGGTTTGAAAATATGAACGAGAAGTACTAAATCTGGTATTGGGTAAAGCGATAGAGTTGAAAACGTGAAATTTTATGTTGCGATAACTGTTGGTGTTTAGGGTTGAGATGTGGATTGGTTTTGGAAATGAGTACTGAAATTATAGGAAAGTACTGAAAGTTTATACATTTGGTATTGGGTGAATATATAGAACTGGAATCCTGAAATTTGATATTGAGGTCTCTGTTGGTATCTGGGATTGAGTTCTTAATATCGAATTATTCGAAAAGTACAGAATAGTACTAATTTTGAGTAGAGAATTTGAGGAGAGATGTAGTTTTTTTTTTTTTTTTTTTTTTTTGTTGGATATGCATAAAGGTTTCTAAATTTGGTATTGGTTGAAGGATAGAGGTGAAATTCTGATTCATTTCATATTTTATCATTTCATTTTTTAAGATTTTTTACATAATGTTGGGATTTTTTACATACTTCTAGTGAAACTTTTCATGACAGTCAGGTTAGAGTTAGAATAGAAGCCTATTATTTGAAAATGTAAAACATTTAGGGGTTGAAGTGGACGAAAACTGCAACGTCTACCAAATTTACAGTCGCTCTACAGGTTTACAGTTGGTCTTCTTTTCCATAGAATACCTGCAGCTCTTCGCACTAAAAGACCTGGAGTTCATCTTGGACATATAAAATCCTGACATCCATACCAAATTACAGGATTTCAATTCTTTTCCGTTACCCAATACCAAATTTGGTACTTTTCATACAATTATAGTACCCATTTTCAAAACCACCTCCATATTTAGTACCATCCGAAACCACCTCCATATATCTAAGCTACACATAAACAGTGGCCCTAATACCAAATTTCAGATTCAAATACTATCTGATCACCCAATACCGAATTGTACCAAATAAAGCACTATTGTACTAAATGGTACCATTTTAGAAGTTAAGGACCATTTTCGAACTTTTCGTTACCTTAAAGTTCAAATTTTCAAAAACACTTTGGCTTAGGTCATTCTGTTTTTTCAATACGAAGTATTCAATTTTCTAAAACCCACCCTTATCACACTGTTGGTCACCAACGCTGACCCTAGTGCAAAATATTGATATTTCTGCTTCAGCCGTTTCGTCTGGACTTTGATTCTTGATCAGTCAGTCAGTTATTTCAGTACCACTCTTTAATATAAATATTTTATATGTATACAATTTTTCTTCCACCTACCCCATCTGACCCTGATCCTTTAAATGTTACCAGAAAGTTAACATAACTGTTTTCATAACTGTGTGCTTAACCTTAATTATTTTCCAAATCATCATC